TAAGGGTCCGCCGGTGGTGATAACCATCTCCATCAGTTTCAGGACAAGCCGGGGTGGGGGAGAAAGAAAGACTTCTGTGTTACATAAATATTTCAGGGACTGCAGGTTCCATCCCACTTCTAAAGACATCAAAAAGCAAAAATGTGTTTATAGAAGGTTCAGGGACAAAGGATATTTTCCCCATTAGACAGATGAGGTGACAATGGCCCCGAGAGGTAAGGTGACATGGTGAAAACAAGGAGGTTTAGATACTCAGGGAAATGCATCCATTTGAAATGATTCATTTCCTGAGAAAGCCACTTAATACGTGTGTCTTCCTCAAAGCCCGGGCTGAGCTGCATCTGATGACTAATTTGTGATTTCCTGGATGAGCAGCCGTGAAGAATACTCGGGCAGAGCGACTGGTCCTCATTAGGAGCTTTGGGTGGGGGCTGAGGAAGTCCCCAAAAGAAGATCCGCTGAAGTTCAAATCCTGTTTTCGTGATTTTGGGGCAGCTTATGTAACGTCTTTGGACTTTGGTTCCATCATCTGACGGGTCGGGGGACTAACACGTGACGCAGGGGTTGTGTCTAAGAGGAAAACACGCCACACTCAACACGGCTCCCGGTGCACGGTCGGTGCACAGACATGGTGGCCACTCTTATTTTGAATGGTGCTATTATTGGGCGGAAACATACGAAACTGTGGATTTGATGATTCGATGGGTCAAACGCAGTTGAATATCATTCAGTTTCATACGGTTCACCCCACTATTATCGAACAATGGCCCTGTCTCTGGTTGGCAAGCCAGGAAGGACAGAGCATCCCCATTTTGCAGAGGGAAAAACTGAGGCTCAGAGAGAGGGACTGACCCACCCGGGACAGCAATGCACCTGCCCGCCTCTCCCCTTCTTGCCTGCACCACCCTCACTGTCCCGGCGCCGGGCTGCCGGTCACTGTGGGGTGTCACTGTTCCCACTGGGGCTTGATTCACTGTGGACAGAGCAAACACAGGCCGGCCTGGGCTTTGTGGAGTTGGCTGGGCCTGGGAGGGCCACCCTGGCTGTTTCCTGACGCTTAGTTGTGCAATGGGAGATTGGGAAAGGCAGGTGCTGCCAGCTCGGGAAGAGCCACCTCCTGTCCCCAATGACCTCCTATCTGTTCCTGCTGAAAACAAGCTGTCCCAGGTTCAGTGCCTCACTCGTCAGGTCGCAGAGGCCCTCCTGGAGCGTGGACGGGGCCGAGAGTTGCATGGGTCTCATTTGAACGTAGGCCCCCTTCTCTTTTCCCTCTGACCTTTCTTCCTGTCCCTCTCGTGTCCTGCCACGTCTTCAAAGCCATGCAGCTGCGGCTGGTGGCTCTGGAGCTCCGACTGCGGGTGGCACAGACGCCTCTCCTGTGCTCCCAGCTCAGCCAGCTGCCTCCTGGACAGCTCAGCTCCAGCGCCCCAACTGTGGCTCAAACCCAGCTTGGCCAACCCATACCCTGTGCAAACCTGAGGCTCGTCCTATTCCAAGCCAAGTACCCTGGGTGTCCCCACGCAGTACCCTGTGGCACCACTTTGAGATGCTTACTGTTCCTCAAATGCACAGCACTACTTCTGGGCCTTGGCAGGTGCTGTTCTTTCTCCCCCTAATGCCCTTCCCCATCTGGCTAACCTGTATTCATTCTCTCTCAGCCTCAGCTTGTGATGGTTAATTTTATGTGTCGACTTAACTGGGCCACGGGTACCCAGATGGCCGATTAAACATTATGGGTGTGTCTGTGACGGTGTTTTTGGATGAGATTAACATTTGAATGGGTTGAGTGAGTAGAACAGATTGCCCTCCCAGCTGTGGGTGGGCCTCGTTTAATCTGTTGAAGGCCTGAATGGAATGGAAAGGCTGGGTAGGAGAACCCATCCTGCCTGATTGCTTGAGATGCACATCAGTCTTTTCCTGCCTTCAGTCATGAACTGAGACATCCGTTCTTGCTGGGTCTCAAGCCTGCCAGCCTACGGACTAGAACGACATCGTCAGCTCTCCAGGGTCTCCAGCTTGCCAAGTCACTCTGCAGATCTTGGGACTCACCAGCCATCGTGATCATGTGAGCCAATTCCTTGTAATAAATCTCTTGGTACACGCACACACACCCACACACGCTCACATGCACACCCACACGCGTGCACACACATCCTATTTGTTCTGTGTCTCTGGAGATCCTGATCCATCCGTGTCACCTTGTGACTATCCTCCCTGTGCCAAGATTGCATCAGCTGTGCCACTTTTTGCTCCCCTGCCCCCCTACACCTGGCCTCCTGCTCCCCGCCTTCCTAACCCTTGACCACACAAGGTCCAGCTCCTCCAGCTGCCTCCACCAGACTCAGAGCCCCTCAGACACGCTGTCAGACCTGTCTCTGTGACTCCAGCGCCCACCCGCAGCTTTATGCAGGGAAGGCGCTGCTGGTAAATGCATGTCGAGGCAATGAAGATGACACTTCCTGTGAGCAGTGGCTTAAAAAGTCGGAGTGCCTACGACATGCTGAGCTCTGTGCTACAGCAGAGAACAGGGTCCATCCCCTGCCCTCACGGAGCTTTCTACGGGGAAAACAGACAGTAAAGTGACTGAGCTTTCCCATCTGCAAAATGGGAAGTGTGATGGAACAGCTGGGCACGCTCAGGGGGTGACCATATATGGCAGATCTCAGGAAATAGGCCACTCTGTCTCAATTTCTTTTACTTGGCAGTCAAAGAAACGAAAAGACCATTCTTATCTCATTTCCAAGGTTTTTTTCCTCCAGTGCTGGAAATCCGTTTTCCAGATTTAGGAAACAGTGCAGGGCCATGATTCTTGGGACGTGAGCTTGCATGGAATCTCCAGGAAGGCTTCTTAAAACATAGATTGCTGGGCCCCACCTCGGGGTTTGTGATGCAGTAGGTTTGGGATGGGGCCAAAAAATGTGCCTCTGTAGCCATCTCCCAGGTGTGTGGCTTCTGCAAATTCCAGGGACCACAACGAGCCGCTGGTCTAATGCATGTGACAGTGCCCTCTGCAGTCTGGGGTTTGAATGGCAGCTCGGTCTCACCCGGGGACCTCAGGCACATCCCTGGGCTTCAGCTGCCCTCTGAGTGAAGTGAGAGGGCATACTTGGGACCTGGGAATCACCAGGTCCTTCTGGACCATGAATCCTGGGCTGTGTGGACAGGACTCTGGGGGCCAGGCCAGGACAGCAGCTCCTGGTGCTCATGGCCCGGGGGTAGTTGTGGGATGGGAGGGCAGAGAAGACCGAGCTGTAAGTAGACTGATGATCTGGAAACCTAGAGAAAATTTTTAAAACATAAAATCATGGATACAAACTCAACTACTTGTGATTTGGTTTTTTCCTAAATGAGAAGAGCAGAAAAGTTCTGATTCATCTAAGGTCCCAGGGAAGGAGGAAGAAGCTAAGGAAGAAAGAACTCTGAACCCAGGTTCAGAAAATAGGGGTTCCAGGCCCAATAGGTATAAGTACGTCCCCAAGATTGAATGGGATATACTTATGCTAAAAAAACGTACATACTATTTATCCGAAATCCAAATTTATCTGGGTGTCCTGTAATTTTATTTGATAAATCTGGCTGTTTCCCAGACTCTCCCTCACGTCTTCTAAGGCAAGTGATGGTGTGGCCTCTCTCAAGAATCTCACAGGTTAAGAATTGCTCAACCTGAAGCACGATTCACAATTGCCAAAAGATGGAGACAAGCCAAATGTCCATCAATGGACGAATGGATAAAGCAATGTGGTCTAGCCACTGCAGTGGAATATTACTCAGCCATAAAAAGGGATGAAGCACTGACACATGCCCCAAAGGGATGAGCCTTGAAAACATGATGCTAAATGAAAGAAATCCATCACAAAATGTCTTATATTGTAGGATTCCATTTATATGAAATATCCACCGTAGGCAGAGCCACAGATGGGAGCAGATTTGTGGTTTTTAAAGGGAGGCTGGGGGGACCGCTTCATGGGTGTGGAGCCACCTTTAGGGGTGATGAATATGTTCTGAAACTAGATAGTCGTGACGGTGGGACAACATTGTGAAGGTAAGTTTTATGTGAGGTGTATTTTGCCATGATAAAAAAAAAAAGGAGTTGCTCCATATCCTCCTCCCTGTGTGTTAGGGGTTGAATTGTGTCCCCCAGAAAGATATGCTGAAGTCCTAGCCTGGTGACCTGTGAGTGTGGCTTTAGTTGGAAAGGGGGTCTTTGCAGATGTAATCAAGTTAAGATGGGGTCTTGAGGGTGGGCCCTCCTCCAGTATGACTGGTGTCCTTCTAGAAGGATGCCAAACAGAGACACACAGGGAGAAGGTCATGAGACTACAGAGGCAGAGACGGAGGGGCTGCAGCCACAAGCCAAGGAAGGCCTGGGGCCACCAGGAGCTGGACCAAGTAAGGAACCTCCCCAGAGGCGTCAGATGGATCATGGCCCTGCCAACACTTTGATTTCAGACTTCCAGCCTCCAGGGCCAGGAAAGAATGCATGTCTGGGGCCGGCCAGGTGGAGCAGCAGTTAAGTTCGCTCATTCTACTTCATCAGCCCAGGGTTTACCGGTTCGGATCCCAGGCGTGGACCTACACACCACTTGGCAAGCCATGCTGAGGCAGGTGTCCCACATATAAAATAGAGGGAGATGGACATGGCTGTTAGCTCAGGACCAGTCTTCCTCAGCAAAAAAGAGGAGAATTGGCGGCAGATGTTAGCTCAGTGCTAATCTTCCTCAAAATAAAAAAAAAAGGCAATGCATTTCTGTTGTCTTAAGCCACGAGGTTGGTGGTATAGTTACAGCATCCCTAAGAAACCAATACACTATGGGTCCTGGACCCCCTAATTTTTAGCTCCCCCCCCCCCACCACAGGCACCATATCTCTCCCTGTCTTTTGCTCCTTTGGGAGAAGCCGCCTAAGCAGGGCATCCTCCGAGCATCGTCTCCCGGGCCCCCAGCCCTGCCAGAAACCTCCCGCCCGGCTTTTCAAAGAAGCACACGGCCACAGATGCATCATTCCATTGCCTCAGTTTTAAATATTTATTTAAAATCCAGAAGGGAAAAGGAGAAATGGAACCCACTGGGCTTTTAACACACTGACGTGGACAGAGACATCAACGAGGACAGCAGAAAAACCCAAGAACGAGACAGAGGCCAGGTTGAGACTGGCGGCGTGCGGACACCGAGCACTGAGATGAGGCCCGAGCTGCTACCAAAACGCACTTCCACGGGGAGCATCCGGGCTGGGGCAGGAGGGCGAGGAGACAGGAAGTGTCCGGTGGGGAGGGTGGGCCAGAGTGAGGTATTAAATAATGAAAATCAAATCCAATTCCCAAAGACACAACTTTAGAAAAAAAAAAAAAGACACAAATAGGCTTTCACATAAAATTTCCCCTTCTATAAAAATAATTCCATAGTTAAAATCATCTCAAAATCAACCTGGATGTTGACTGGTTCGCTGAGACAGGACAATTCAGACGACACTGAGGACCGCTATGATGCTGAACTCCGAGATTCCCATAATTACTGTTTCTCAGCCCACGTTTACATTGGCAGCTAATGACGCTGGGTTTCTACAGAATTTAATGACAACGAAAAAGCAAGAGTGATGATTGCATCTTGGAAGGACGAGCTCCTGGATGGGAGGACCTTGGGGGATGGTATGCGGCTCCGGGAGACGGTTCCATATTTCTATTCCACCTCCAAGGCCAGCCCTGACCCAACTCTGCTCACTGGTTTCCTCAAGGTCAAGACTTCTCCCAGGATTCTCCAGTCTCGATCGCTCCCTCCAAGACAAGCCTGACTTCCTTGCAGGGCCGTGAAAGGCCAAGTCACAATGCTTCAAGCTCAGACCACCCCCTGCCTTCAAGACGACAAACGTTTCAACGTCTATAAGTTAAAAGGTAAAATCCTTCTACTTCTGTTTCTGGTAGTTTTTTTTGGTATTTTTTTGCTTTGCTTTTTTTTTTTTTCTTTTTCCTTTTTTTTTTTTTTTTCCCCTCCTTAGCAGATTACCTGATGAGCACAAGGGTGATGGCAGGAAAATCGAAAACGTCCCCAAACTTGGTCATTTGGAGGAGAGAGAAAAATGTGGCTGATAACCCCACATCAACGTGTTGCTTCAAAGTCTGTGGCAAAAATGCTAGCACCTTCAGAATCTTAAATAGGTTTTTTTTTTTCCTTAAAAAAATCACAAACGCTACGAGACAATTGCGAGCACCAGGGGTTTCACAGTGGGAGGTAGCACGCGTGGCCCCCCAGCTCCGAGGATCTCGCTTCGCCCCCGCCGCTTCCCACCCTCTGGCTGTTCATTCTCTCTCTCACCTGTTTCTCTGGTGAAAAAAATAGGAACGCACCTCCTTTGTGTTTGTTTAAATAGAATATATATACTTCTTTCTTTCCTTTTCTCCTTTTTCATGTCTCCTCTCTAATATTGCACATCAAAGCGCCCCCACAGGGACCAGCGGACGAGACGCCCCCTTCCCTCGAGCTGGAACGTGGGGCTCTTTGGGCAGGAAGCTGGGAGAGAAGGGGGTGGCCGCAGAGCTGGGAGACAGGCCGCGGGGCTCAGGCGGGTTGCAGGCCCAGCTTGCTCTGGCTGGCTCTTTGGTTGGTCTTTGGGGTTAAGCTGGGATCCACTGTTCCCAACGTCACCCGGGGCCCTGCTACCCACCCACCCCTCCCCCTGCCCAGGCCACTTCTACTGGGCAGACAACAGCTGGGGCCTGCCCAAGGATGCCGGGGCGGGGGAGCTACCTCTCCTGGGCTCACCCGCCCCTAGGTACCCTCCCTTTGCAGCCTCTTCCTCTTCCCTCCCCCACGAGGCCTAGAGGAGCCAGGAGGTCAGAGGTCAGAGGAAGCAGGCAGGTCCAACTTCGAGGCGGTACTGCTTCCCAGATGAGGCAGGAGGGAGGTTGTCCACGCCGACAATGGGCAGCTGCTGGGGGTCCTGGGTCCGGAAGGTGAAGAGCGTCTGATGCCAGCGGCCATCCTGGACCTGAGGGTCGATGGAAAAGAGGACGCATGTATCCATCAGGGTCCTCATCCTGTATCATGTGCATTTCCCCATCACCTGTCCTCACAATTTTTAATCGTCATGGGGTATTTCACTATCGTGACGACCTGTCTTTGTCCATTTAGATTGCTTCTAATTTTTTTTCTTGTAACTGATGCTGTAATGAACATCATTGTAGCTAAACCTTTGTGCACGTTCTTAGTTACTTCCCAAGATCAAATTCTAGAAGAATTGCGGGATCAAAAGATAGGTACATTTCCAAGGCTCTGGATATATATCGAGCTGCTGTCCCAATGTCTCTGCCTATTTCTTTTTTCTAAATAGCTTTGTGTGAGAGTGTCAGTTTCCCCACATCCTCACTAACATTGCGTATTACCAGTTTTGTTTAATTTTGTGAACCCGTTTTTGGGGGCAACTTTCTGTCTCCCTCTCCCCCAACAACCCACCTGTTTTAGATATCTGAAAATGACCGAAAATCTTAAGAGACGAAATTAGCCTGATCAGAGCGGGGATAGAGAGAATAGTAGAAATACAACCGCCTATAGGCAGCCTTGCAAATAAGTATAGCATTTACCAGCCGGTTGGCTTTTACGAGCCCAGATCTTCCCTCAGAAGGTTCCCAGAGAGGAAAGTGAATAAAAACAATCTTATGAGGCTGTCATGATAAAATTACCGCATAAAGATAAAAATTATACAGATCATACTAACATAGTATAAAATTGTCACATGTAACTTTATAATAAAAATAAATTTTTCCACTTGTTCTGCATGAGGGGTCTGTGAGGGGCTCCCAGAGTTACCTTGCAGCCATCCACGGACACCTCCGGCCTGAACTGACCCCCGGCTTCAAAGATTTGCCCGTTCCAGGCCCGGAAGCGCACGGCCTGCTTGGCTGGGGTCTGTCCGGTGCTCTCCTGCCACACGGTCATGTTAAGGCAGTGGATGGTGATATGCTGCGTCACCTCAGAGCTAAGGAGGTGCAGAAAATTCATCTGGACCCGGCTGACGGCAAACTCGACCTGGGGAAGAAACAAGCCACAAGACCGGGTCAGGCTTGGCTGCCTACCTTCCTCGCCTTTCTCTGGATAGCGTGGGGATGAGTGGTCTCCTGGCAGGCATTTCCCAAGCATGCTCCCAGATGGGTGCCCACTTGAAAGATATGGAAATTGAGGTCTGTGTGAGCCAGTCTCACAGCCAAAGGGTAACAAGGAAGGGAAAGGACCGAGGTCTGTCTGACCCTGGGGCCAGGGCTGCAAGGGTCCTGGTGTCATCTGATCCTCCCTAGTGTATGGAGGGGTCTTTGGAGCTGAGCTGGGATCCAGAGGCCCAGAGAAGATGAGGGTCTTGCCCAAGATTGAGAGGCCGTTGGAGTGCAGAGGAAATGAGAAGTGACTTTCTGTCCCTCCTAAGTCCCAAGATTCCAGTGGAGTGGGGTGGGGTGGGGTGGGGTGGGTGCTGCTGGAAATGGCAGACCTGACAACAAATAGGATGGCATGGTGGCTTCAGGGGTTGTCATGGGAGCCCTGACAGTTGGGTTTTCTCTTTTTTGTAATGCAGGTGCCTGACTTAAGTTTTGATTGCTGAGGCATTCACTTCAAAGACGGTGATCTGGAATAAACACACAGCCGGCCACATGACCAGATAAAGAGCCAGGCCACCTCCCGCCACCAAGCCTCCTTTGTTTTAGGTCTTGGTTGATTTCGATAACTGACCATTTAGGCCACTTGTTTTTTTCTCTGCTCGTGCTTTAAATTCCCGCTCTTACGTTTTTAAATTCACGAGCCCATGAAACCCTAGGCCACCACCCTTGACCCTAATAAAAGCAGAACCCCAGGCCCATGTGCCCTTTCTCTCTCTACCTGAGACCTCACTGTGTGGCCCCAGGTGTGCTATGTAATTTGCAGGTCCTGTAAGTAAGAAACCTTTAGTTTTTCAAAGTTTCCTGATGGTAACTGCTGAAGAGCATCTTGGACTCCTGGTAAGAACCACAAGCAAGAGTCCAGCCGTAGGATGTGCATAGGCTGAGACCAGCACAGAACAACTGGCGCAGTTGGCAGGACCGCGTGACTGCCCTTGCAATGAACCAAGGGGAATGCCCTTTGCCTGCAGCTTGCTTCCTAACCACCTAACTCAGGTGGGTAACACCATCTGGGAAGGGAGCGCCACTTCCTGAGGTCTGTCATACCACTGCATGCTTTCACGTATTACCTCTGTCATGTGCTTCCTGTGGGGATCCAACCCAAAAGGTCACAGCTGCCGTAATAACCCAGTGATCTCGTGAGAGCAGCCTGATCAAGGCCATATCGTCTAGCAAGACGATTAGACCACTAATTACAAAGGCCTTAATGTATGTAAGGTTCCTCCATGCCTCAAGGCCAAGGAGAGCTAAGGAGGGTGGACTGGATCACAAGGCTATTATCGTCATCCAAGGAGAGGCTCTGAGCTAAAGGCACGACAAAGAGATTCCCATAGGTGAGGAGGATGGCAGACCTATGCCTGCAACCACTGAGTCAGCAGGTCGTGCCAGGACTATGTGTCCTAACGCAGAAGAGTGAAATAGCCTTGCAACCAGAAACCAATGGCACCAGCAGAGGAAAATATAACAGAAGCCTGTGGTCTCTGAGCCGCCACTTCACCCACTGCTTCGCTGTTCACCCCCTGACCTAGGGGGATATTATGGGTCCAATCCCAGGTGTGATGTCACTAAAAAAATTAATGGACAAATATAAATGTCGTGAACCTCTGGTGCCAGTGCCTCCTAAGAACCCTGAGGAGGCAAACCAGCTACTTGACAAATGCAAAACCCCAAGGAAGCTCCCTAGGCTTGCTCAGTGCCATGGCATAACCACCATGCCGAGACTCTGGAGTGACGCTCCGGAGGCCTGAGGGCTTTTCCCAAAGTCTCTGCACACATCATGCTAGTGGAAGCAGACCAAGCTTAGAGAGATCTCTTGAGAAAATCCTGAAAGGAAAGCAGCCACCCAGGAAGAGGGTTCACAGCGATGTCATCTAAAAACTTCCAGTCACAACACACAAGATTAAGGTAACAAGAAAAAAAGCAAGAAGTTGGGGCTGGCCCGGTGGCGCAGCGGTTAAGTTCGCACGTTCCGCTTCTCGGCGGCCCGGGGTTCGCTGGTTCGGATCCCGGGTGCGGACATGGCACTGCTTGGCAGCCATGCTGTGGTAGGCGTCCCACGTATAAACTAGAGGAAGATGGGCACGGATGTTAGCTCAGAGCCAGGCTTCCTCAGCAAAAAGAGGAGGACTGGCAGTAGTTAGCTGAGGGCTAATCTTCCTCCAAAAAAAAAAAAAAGAAAAAGAAAAAAAGCAAGAAGTAGAAACTGAGATTTAAAAACTATACCTTAACTAAAATTCAAACCTTTCTTAAAGATTTTACGCAGCAGGAAGGAGAGAGGGGGGCTAACTGGCTATTTTGGGGTTTTTGGTTTATTCCTTGGTTTTTTTTTTGGAATGGGCACTGAATTGTTACTCAGGGCTGCCGAAATGTCAACTGGCCAATTTGTCTCTGAAGACCCTGAAGTCCACAGCTTTCTGAAAGATCCATCCTGGCTATATGCTCGCTTCCTCCGAGACACCACAGACCCTGAGGCCCCTCGGCTTTCTCCTGAATAGGGCGGGACTAAGAAATGTGTCCCACAAGGTGTCCCTGCCACCAAGGGGAAAGCTGACAGGGTTATCGAGGCCTCCAGGGAGGAGGAAGATAGAAAAGGGAAGGCAAAGGTCCCTAGAACCCCGATATTTGTACCAGGGCCCTTGCTCTTCTTCTTCTTTTTTTTTTTTTGAGGAAGATTAGCCCTGAGCTAACATCTGCTGCCAATCCTCCTCTTTTTTGCTGAGGAAGACTGGCCCTGAGCTAACATCTCTGCCCATCTTCCTCCACTTTTATATGTGGGATGCCTACCACAGCATGGCTTGCGAAGCGGTGCCATGTCTGCACCCAGGATCCCAACTGGCGAACCCCGGGCCACCGAAGTGGGACATGCGCACTTAACTGCTGCACCACCCGGCCAGCCTGGCCCCTCCTCTTCTGACTTGGACGTTTACTGCCTGGCGCCATGTCCACCCTTCCATCACAGTGAAGATCGCTAAGGCTCACAGTGAAAGAAAACATCAAGATGAGGACTATCTCCAGTTGCACAGAATTGGCACAACCCAAGGAGTTTATCATTTCCACGACCATAATGACCCAAACGGCCTGCTCTTCATTTCCAGCTCCAAAGAAGCCCCATGTGAGCCTGAGTCCAAAGAATTGTTTTTACAGGGCGCTCCACCCAATCACGGGGCTGCACCACTACATTTTATTGGGGCTGCCGAAACCATACAACCTGGGCTAAAAGTCCTCGCAGAAAACTTAGATCCTTTCTCTCTCCCGTGAAGATGTAAATCTGGCCATGTCTTTGAAATGCAAACACCCCAGGAGGTAACAAAAACTCTGCCCACAACCACCTGGGACTGAAGGAAAAAAAGGGCGGGAAGAAGCCTTTTGAAATATAAAAGCTCTCTTGCCCCCAATCTAGCTCACAGCCTCCTTAAGATAACTTGTCAAGGACAAATACAAATCTTCAAAGTCTTCTCCAGGGGCTGGCCCGGTGGCACAGTGGATAAGTTCGCATGTTCTGCTTCTCCGTGGCCTGGGGTTGGCTGGTTTGGATCTCGGGTGTGGACATGGCACCACTCGGCAAAAGCCATGCTGTGGTAGGCATCCCACATATAAAGTAGAGGAAGTTGGGCATGGATGTTAGCTCAGGGCCAGTCTTCCTCAGCAAAAAGAGGAGGATTGGCAGTGAATGCTAGCTCCGGGCTAATCTTCCTCAAAAAAGAAAAAGAAAAAAGTTTTCTCCACAAATATTAAGAAGATTTAGTTATCGGAGTGGGTAACCATAACTTCTTCCATCCGCCAGACACAATTTGGAGCCCAATATTACTCATAAACTAGTGAGTTTTATGTTGCTGTACCTGATTCACAGCTAAAATTTTGCAACAGAAGCTACAGGGTCTCTGTGTTCGGCTGTGAGTATATGTTTGTCTCTGGATGTATGTTACGTATGTGTGATTTTTTTCTCTGTCTCTCTACCTCCAGATGCTTTGCCAAAATTAATTTGTAAGGGAGCTCTATTTAATTGGCTTACAAATAAGTGTTTATGAATGAAGTATTCCTAAAACTCAGAAATACAGAAGCTAATTCAAATATTTTTCAAGTTCACAGGATCTGGGATAATCGTTGGTAAATAAAAGCTAGTTTAAGTTCGGTTTCTTTAAAACAGGTATGCCTTCAGAGTTATCATCGTTAAATATAATGCAGATAAACAGTTTTTATTCTACCTGGGTTTACTAGCCAAACAAATTCATACTGTCTTGATTACAAAATTTTTCGGTGAAAAAAGTGGCTTGGGATGATGGCTGACTTTGTCTACTGTCCAATGAAGTTTTGTGGGTAATCTTAGCATAATTTTTGGGAGAAAGTGATTTAGACAGATGTAAGTGGAATAAGAGTTTAGGTGAATTTTACAGCAAGAATTATGTGTTATGTTTACTTAAAAATAGTTTCCAACATCTTTGGTAGCTTCCACCCTTAGAATTTTCCTAAGTTAAATTAAATGATGGGATTTATAAGGAATTGAATGTCTAGATCATTTCCAAATAAGATAAAATACTGAAACATTAATTGCTAAACAAGTCTAAGTTTACCTACTTTTGACCTCTTATTACAGTGTAACTAAAGAAATTTGGGTCTGTTAATAAACACATCTTGTGCCACACTGAACAATTATGCTATGAGAAAATGTATGTTTCTAGAAATTATGAAATGTATTCATAAATTTGACAATTTAAAGAACGCTGGTGTAACTGACAGTTCGTGACTGCTTCTTAGTTTTCACTAGAAATGAAAGTTTCTAAGGGTTAAGAATTCTAATTAATGTATGTAATTAAAACTACTAGAAATAATAAGGCACACGTCTCTGTATGCAAGGAAGGTAGGATGTGTTTTGGGGCAAAAGAAAAAGTATGAGGTATGGAGATGCATTTTTGTTAAGGGAAAAGAAAATAAATTTGTCCTAAAGTAAAACTGGTTATTTCAGAATGGGAAAGTGGAAAATAAAGGAAAAAATGGTATAGAAAGTTAGGAAAAGAGAGAATGAAAAAGAGAGAGAATATTACTTTGTCTGGTCCAGTTTGCTAGAATTGGATTATTATTATAACTGAATTTTTTTTAATAAGTTTTAATTCAATAATATGCTTACATAACTTTCTTTCATCTCATAAAAGGACAATGTTTTCTTGGCATATTGGTCTGCTCCTGATAAGAGATTATGAAAGGCTTTAAGGCTTTTCTTTGCCTTTTGAGTAATCTGGCTAGAAAGCAAAGACTTTGTGTTTTATCAAAATAATTTCCTATGCTTCATGTTATCTTAATCAGGTCTTTATGAAGAAAATTGAGTTTTCTCAACATTAAAAGAGCTAAGTTTTGCTCACAAATATGTAACCTTCTCTATTCATCTTTAAAATCTTTTGTCATTTTGGTTAAGTAGATAATTAAGTACAGTTTCATAATGATCTGTGATCTTATTCAGTCAAGTGTTCAAAATCTTTGATATTTTTGACAAACTTCCCCAAATCAAATTCTAAGTGAAGTCTTCTTGACCTGGAAGTAACTTCATGATCTTCCAGAGGGGCCCTGGAACATCTCAAAAGATTTGTTCTCTCCCTTGTAAAAAGGGAGGCATTAAACTAATTAGGCTTATTTGATAATAAGAAATAAATAATGCTAGACCTTCTTTATGGATATCCTTGTATGAATATACATTATTAATATAAGTGTTCCAGAAATTATATGAAATTCCTAAAAGTCTGATATGTAATGTTATCAGTCATAATTCCAGTTATTATATTAAAATGTGTGTCACAGAAATAGCCCAAACTTCCTTGTCAATTGCATCCTAATGAACTCTCATCAGATCTTAACCATGGGCGTTTTTAAGTCTTTTGTCTTTTACAGACAGTTATTGTTTTACTCGGACACTTTTGCAGCCATCTCTTCAAGGAGGTTCATGGAAAGGACTCTGACAAGTACAGGTTTCTGATCACTTTCAGATCATACTGAAACTGGTAAGAATTTACAGAATTCTAAGGACAAATTGGATTTAAAAAACTGCTGAAAAAAAAAGATCAAGAATTTGTTACACAGGAACTGAATGAACCGATGAGGATGATTATAATTTTTTTATATACTTCTGTTTGAAACATTGCTGGTTCTTTAATCTTTTGTTTTCCAGACTTAAGGAAACACTTTTCTTAAGCTGGCTATGACTTACAGCAATTTGGTAAAGAATACCTTTGTGGACAAAGATGAAACAATTACTCTTTCTCCCTACCTTATCCCTCCAGGATTTGGAAGCTCTCAGTGAGTATTCTTATTCTCATGGCAATTTAGTTATTTGCATAAATTCAATAAGAATCTGTATTCTCCTTGTAACAGGATGCTATTGGAAACATTGGTTATATTACCAAAGCTTTGACCAGAAAGTCATATTTGAGAGAGACATACATAGACTCAGCTATGACCAGACAGCTTTAAGGAATGAAGGTTGACTATATGGAGCCAATAAAGCCCTCTTGGAAAAATCAGCCTTATACCTCACTTACAGGGTTCCCAGCAGCCTTTCCAGGTGAGTAAGGAAGGTCACTTCCTGGCAGGCCCAGGAACCCCAGGATATTTTGGGAACCTCGAGAAGAGAAGAATTCTCTCAAATCTATAGGTATTCCAGGCAAAGTCTGATGATGAGTTCTTGGCCAGGCTTCCTAGCCTCAAAGAGGCTTTTCAAAGTGAATCTGAGATTCCTTAAGAAAGGTTCCAGCAAAGCAGACTTAAAAGAGCTTGCATCATCAATCGCTATTCCTGCTGTCCTTACGTAATAATCAGGCCAAGTTTATTGAAACTAAACGTAATTTGTAAGCAAATTCATCTTACTGTGGTTATCTTCAAAGAAATGGGGGCGATTGTAGAGAGAAAAATTGTATTTCAATGGAAACTATAATACACCCTTGTGGATATTAGATTCTAGTTCTGTTAGTTATCTTTGTTTTGTTTTCTACCCGTAAACTGAACTGGATGGTGAATTCTCATTTCCTCCAATATTGGTTACAGCTCTAAGAATTAATGTTTCCAATTTTTCTCCCACCCTTCTGACCTGGAATCATTGAGAACTAAAATTGCCCTTTTCCCTAAGCTGTGCAAGCTAAAGTGGGACAACTTGATAGAAACATCAGAGAAATCACCACAACAGCTCACACATGATAATCTTCATGCCTGTTGCCAGGTGGGCCGCTCAGAAAGATCACCAGAGACATTCGAACTGTAGACCAGGAAAATCTATCAATTGCCACTGACTGCCCTCACTCCATCCGAAGATGCTTTGAGCCCAACATCTAGAAATCTTCTCAAATGGCTGCCTTCAGAACTCAGAAACTGGGATTATAATCTGCTCCCATCATTAACCTTTGGGGCTTGTTTCCTTTTGTTTCCATAGAAATGCCTCTTATTAAATACTTGATTACCTGCACCATGTAGGCTTACCTTGGAGAACCCACTTACATCACTGCCTCCTGAAATGAGACACAGCCCTTTAACTGAAGTGACCCATTCTCAGGGCTAAGAGACTGGCTCAATGAGACATGGAGCAATCTACCGACTCGGGATGGGTTCAAACTTACTAACACCAGAGGACCCAAGATGTTAAAATACTTCCCAATATTACCCACAACTTTGACCAGATTCCTAGGGCCCCTGAGATCACTGACTTAGTTTCATTGTCGGACTCTTCAAATTTGGGACTATGGCTATGGACTAGATTTCAGACTATTGCCTGTATAATTTTTACAGGATTTGCCACTATAATCCTATTTAGATGTGCACTTCCTGGGTTACAACATGCCCTACCCCTGACTTTCAGCATGTCAGCTACCCAGGCAGTTAGTGTCTCATCATTGACTCCGATGCCTCGACCCCGCAGGGTGGACTGTAGCGTGAGCCCCGACAGTTGAGTTTTCTCTTTTTTGTAATGTAAGTGCTTGATTTAAGCTTTGATTGCTGAGGAGTCCATTTCAAAGAGGCGTCCACTTCAAGATGAGCTATCTGGAATAAACACATGGCCAGCCACAGACTAGAAAAGAGCCAGGCACCTTCCCACCCTGAGGCTCCTTTGTTTTAGGGATCTTGGTTGATTTCAATAACTCACCATCTGGGCCACTTGTTTTTTCTCTTCCTGCACTTTAAATTTCCACTCTTATGTTTTAAATTCACCAGTAAAGAGCGAGCCTGCAAAACCCTAGGCCCCCGCCCTCAACCCCAATAAAAGCAGAACCCCGGGCCTGTGCTCTTTCTCTCTCTCTACCTGTGACCTCACTTTGTGGCCCCAGGTGTGCTGTGTAATTCCCAGGTCCTATGAATAAGAAACCTTTATTTTTTTCAAAGTTTCCTGATGGTTACTGCTGAAAGGCATCTTGCAATCATAGTGAGAACCACAAGGGCCAGTCCAACCACAACATTGGTTATTGATAGGCTGAGACTGGCACACAACAGTGGTTCATTGTTCCTGATGGGGATGGCCACCCGGCTGGGCAGTCACGCTGCCAACCCAGGCGCCAATGGTGACCTCACTCTTCTGCCGGGCGGGTTTGCCACGTGGCCCCCAAACCTCAGAAACAGAGGAGAAAGGGCCTGCTGGACCGTGACCCATGTTTCCTGCTGAATCCCAGGACCTGGCTCGGTGCCCGGCACATGGTAGGAACTCAACAAAGACTGGTTGCCCTGCTGGCTTGCCTAGAGATTCTCAAACCCTGGGTCAGACACGGTCATCACAAGGCACCTCCTCGAGCCTCCCCAGCGGGGCTGATAGGATGGGATGCAAAGGGACTCTGGGTCCGCACCACCCCTGCAGCCACAGCTGCTCTTCTCCCTGGATCGTCCCACACGGAGGACTTCATGCACCTGCAGACCCACAGTCCCTGGGGGGGTATCCTGGGTGGGGTGGTTACACCCCCTTGCTGCCACCTGCCTTGGTTTACTGTTGAGTTGCCCTGAGCTACCTAAAATTCTCAGCCCAGAGACAGGCACAGGGTAGGCAGGCTTTGAACATTAAATATTTGCACACACAGCTCCGCCAGCCTGTCCCAGGAGAGCATCACACAGATTTATTTTGTGCTGATGGTTCATGGTTCTCCAAGCCAGGCCAGCTTGGCCAACTAGGCTGTTTTAGATATTAGGCAGAAAGTTCTATTTGAAGAAAGAAATATTAGTATTGTACAACTCGAAAGGGTTTGGAAACCACAGATTTATAACAATTTATCCTCAATTTACAGATGAGGAAACTGAGGTTCCGAAAGAGGAGATGATTTCTCCAAGGCCATGCAGCAAGACAGTCAAGGCTCCAAACTTGGGTGGGCTGTGGCCCAGGGCAGGGTCGGGGTAGAGCCGGCCAGCCGGTGGGGGGTGGGGAGCAGATACGTACCTTGGAGGCCGTGATGGGTTTGAGACACGTCTGTCCACCATGTGTGAAGTTGCAGGAGACTTCAATGGTGTCGGATGAGCAGCCAAGGTTTGGATCCACCCAGTAGGTACCTGCAGGCAGCGTGGGATGTGGGGGAGGGGTGTGTATGTGGGGAGGAGCCCAGGGCTTGGTTCTGCAGGTGGACCCCGCACATTGTCACCCACTGAGCCCCAGCTGGATGCAAAGTTGGAGAAGGGGAAGCATAAAGAGACTCCACGGGCCACAGAGATGGCAGGAAACCCTTTGGGCAGAGCTCACAACTGGCAGAGCCCCCACAGGGGCCACGTGGCTGCGTACTTGCCCAGGTTGCTACTGGGAAGTGTCCATTTCATAAAGGGAGCAGCTGAGGTTGAGAGAGGCTGAGCCGCCTGCCCAAGGGTCTTAGGGATCATCTAGTTGAAGGGTTTCTCCACAAGGCCAATGATCCTCCTAGGGCTGGCGGGGGGAGGGTGGAGTCTGGGCTCCCACCCCATCAGCCTGGCCCCTCTGCTGGCATCTGATTTCCCCACTGGGCTTCCAAAGGAGCCAAAGGCCCCGCAGCTGAAAGGGTGGGACAACCGGCCACTAGTCCACCATCCTTTGCAGTGGAGGGAAGAGCGGCTCGGGGGGTGGGGCCGTGGCTTGACTCCGCTCACAGAGCTGGTCGGAGGCAGGGCTGACACTGGACTCAGGTCTGCCTGTCTGCAAAGCTTGTGGTCCTCCCACGGCACCACATGAGCTCAGAGAGAGAGAGGAGAGCTGGACGAGGTGCAGACAAGAAGGGCGGAATCCTGGCTTGCCAGGGAAGCCATGACGGGGTCCCCCCCGGGTCCCCTCCTGTCCCTCAGGGGTTTTTTCTGCCAAAACTCTAGTCTCGTTGCACTGAAATGGTCGTGCCCAGCTCGTGGATCTGTGGGCTCTGGAAGGGTGGAACCACTCCTTCTATGTTTCCCACTATTTCCCCATAACCCCAAGTGCAAGGCCTGGCATATTGTGAGGCTCAGGGACTGTTTGTTGAGTGAATAAATGACTGCCCACGTGCCTATCTCCTCAACAACAGAAACTTGGCCCAGATGAGCTGAGATTTGAATGCTACATCTCCCCCAGCTCCTTCCAGAGCTCCCCCGTCCGTGCCCCGCCCCACCCCCGGGGCAGGAAGCCCTCTCTTCAGACCCCACAGGCCCTCATACCATCCACCATCTTCTGCTCGCAGTCCATGAGGTCCCGGCAGACCCGGGCGGGGTTCTCTTTGGTGCCCAGGGGCGTCTTAATGCTCTGGATGAGGTTGCTGAGGTAGTGTAAGGTTTTAAAGATCTCCCCGCCCTGGTCCAGCACCAGCCGGTCCGGATGGCTGTAACCCTGTCGTGAGGAGAGAGGTGACCAGCGGCCCCTTGAGGTCCCAGCCCGGCCCGAGGTCCAAGCTGCCACAGCCCCAAGTTCTCCCTACTTGGGAGACATCTCTGCATCCCCAGGGGCATGGGTGGGACAGGGGTGGGTCCGCCTCCACGTAATGGATAAAGAAGTAGGGACCAGGGATGGAGCGGGGGGGGGGGG